ATAGCATATTGTATACGAACAATTGCATTTTCATTCATTTGAAATATGTAATATCCTGTTAATGATTATCATCGGACTTAGCCAAAATACATAGAAATAATTAACATTACCATGTTAGGGTTGATAAATGATATGCTTATCAAAGGTTTAGAAATAAAAAGTTTTGAAACGTTATACTGAATAATGTTAATCGGCGAGAAGAACGGAGTTTCCTAAATCGGCGTACGGAATTAAACAATTGTTAAAAAGCGCCGTTATGTTTATATTGATATATTTTCTTTAAGGCAAAGCGTGCTCTGTCGAATAAAATTAGACGAAAAAGAGTTTTAGATAATGTTGTGTCTATATATATACGCGCGTCTTTCTAGACCCTCGTCAGTCGCCAAGTTACGCGAAAAACATATTCAGCGAGGAGGTTGTCGTCGCTCCAAATACAAACGCTGCACGGACCGACGCGGTTGCCATGGAAATCAGAATGCCTGGCTGCAATAACGCGCTCTGATTGGTCAGTGCGGTTCTTATAGAAAGTCAAAATCACGTGGGCACCTGGCGCACACCTCCCCCCCGCACCAGCGTATCAGCACTATCAGCTGTTCAGTAATCTCCTTGCCCAACGTGCTCCCCGGATAAATTTGCGATTTTTCGAGAGTCTAGAAAGACGCATGTAGATCTATATTTCTGTATTTTCGTTACTGTCTATTAGTATATATGGTTCTCGAAAGATATGCTTTGTAACCTACTGTCCGAGTATGTGCTCCGACGACTTTTCAATTGCTCGTAAGATATTCGACGTGTATACACAGTGCGCACGGTGTTCAGTCCATACTCTCCACAGTGGTGCTCCAGTTATTTAGACTTCCGGGATAAGCTGTCATCAGATATCATCGAATTAAATATCGTCGAAATTGACATAAGTTTCAATGGCTCAGCAGCTGACAAATTGCGTCTTCTGTAAAATTATTAGGGACGAGGAACCTGGTGAGAAAATTTACGAGGTATGGCAGTTAACCTCAAACGAATTTTTTGACAGCTAGATAAAGTACACACATATATACATACAAATTTTTAATTTAGATTAGCGAGCAAATGTTTCTAACATGCACAATATGTTTTTGCCGTCAGGATGAAGACCTTACGTGTATTAAAGATATTAATCCAGTATCCACGCATCATTATTTGATATTACCGAAAAAACATATACGTAACGCGAAAACACTTCAACCTGAAGACTCTGAACTTTGTAAGTATCCCAGGCTTATCTTTATTAACATATTTAAGTTGAATTTTATTAAATAATTGCATAATCTGCAATATTTTTTTGTTACATCATCGAATAGTAAAATGTTTATTAAATTATTTTATACATACTTTTGAAAATATATCTGAAAGTTTGTCTTCTTTGTTTCTGTTAAAATTTTATGCATTTCTAGTCTAACAATTGATTATTGATATTTCTATCAGTCTCTGATTATATCTGAATACTTTCAGATGACAAGATCGTTGCTGCAGTAGACATTATCTCCGAAAAGATGAATCTTGATCCTGGGTCTACGCGAACAGGGTTTCATTGGCCGCCCTTTAATACCGTCGATCATTTACATTTACACGTTATTTCGCCAATAGAGAAAATGAACGCTGTGAGAAAGATGATGTTCAATCCCAATATGTTTTGGTTTGTGAGCGTAAGTATAGAGATTGTAGAACTTATTCGTTAAATACTGTAAGAGATAAATCTCCATTATACGTATTGTTATTCTTTTTTTTTTTACAGACAGACTATGTGAAATCTCGCCTGGAAAACTGTAAACTGTAGGTCATTATTGTGATTTTATTTGTTAATCGTCTTCCTGGCGCGATAAAAATCTTGTACAATATGTCAGCATTTGATGCGATTACGGACTTAAGAACATTTATTACAAGATACGACAAAGAATTATATGTTTATTGAAAATTAAGTGAGATCGCATTACAATTTTATTTTTATATTAAATGTATATAAGCGTGCATATATCTCATTTGTTGTAATATCTGTTCTGGTATTTATTATATATCTGTTGTATCTTTTAAAGATGTATATGCAGTTTTACGTAGATTGTTTTTATAAAAGAATTATAAATACAGTTGAATCTTTGAAAAAAAAAAAATCTCTAATCATCTCTTTCCTCAGTTTCTTTTTCTTTAGCAATCTTGTTTTTCCAATAATTGCCATCTGGATAGGCGTACTCTGAGATGGTCTCTTCTTTAAGTTTAGTCGAGTATCCAGGACGCTCGGGCGGCATGTAATGCGCATTCCTAATGCGAACGGGATCCTCGAAGTGCTCGTGCTGCTGGTCCACGTATTCTATCATGCGATTTTCATTGGTCTGACTTAAGCAAACGTAGTCCCACATTTGGAGGTGCTGAACCATCTCGCACAAACCTACTCCACCGGCATGCGGACAAACTGGTACTGTAAATAAATAAAAAATTTTCCACTTCGCATTTTGTTTTCTTTTAGATAGAAATTGATTATGGATTCGTCATTCTGTTGTTTGAAAATGGAAAGATCAAGTCTACAGATTTAAGTTATCGATAGTGAACTTATTACTTTTAGTTATGTATGCCATTAAGTACACAGCCAGGAGCTCGTTAATCCCGCCGATCCTCGCCGAATCGACCTGGCAATAGTTGATCGCGTGGTGTTTCAGGAACTGCTTGAACATAACGCGATTCGCGCACATCTCGCCGGTGGCCACTCCGATATTGTACGGCTTTAATTCTTTGAGAATCTGAGCGTGTCCGAAGACATCGTCGGGTGACGTCGGTTCTTCTATCCAGGTGGGTTTAAACTTCCTCAGCTCCTTCATCCACTCGATCGCCTCGTTCACGTCCCACACCTGGTTCGCGTCCATCATCAATTTGTTCTCATCGCCTATCGCCTCGCGTATAATCTCGCACCTTTTAATGTCGTTCTGCAGATCCTGGCCCACTTTGATCTTGAACGCCGTGTAACCGGAGTCCAGAAAGCTCTTGCAAAGATCCTTGAGCTTGTCATCGCTGTAGCCCAGCCATCCGACTTGAGTGGTGTACGCGGGATATCCGTTCTTTTGCAGCTTATTTTTTTGTTCTTGTCTAAGTTTCATTTTTTCCTCAAGTATTTTTATCGCAATCTTCTCGTCCACTATGTCTTTACTGCATATAGAAATGCGTAAACAGAATTGTGTCATGAGCGAGAATATAACTCTGCACTTTGGTTTACAAAAAATTTCGGCTTACACGTATCTGAAGTCTATGACGGAAACGAGTTCCTCGGGTGACATGTCCGAAAGAAGCTTCCAGACAGGTTTTTCCTCGACACGCGCCCACAAGTCCCACAATGCGTTTACAATAGCTGCTGTAGCTAGGTGTATCACACCTTTCTCCGGTCCGACCTAAAACATCGAAATTATATCCCGGTAATCGTCATATTTTAATTATTACGTCACTCTTCGTTATACGTTACCCATCGCAGTTGCGAGTCGCTCGTTAAACGTCTCCAAAAATTAGCAAAATCCTTGTAAATCCATTTTAGTTTCCGATTCAACACGATCTTGGCTAGAGCGTTACATGCTTGTACAACTACAAAAATTATTATTATTATTGGTATAGCGCGTATGTAACTGAAGTATCAATAATATATAGTAATATATAAAATACCGATTTCAGTTCCTCTTCCCAAGGTAAACGTAAGACCATATCCTTCACATCCTTTTTTGTTTGTTTTAATTGTTACATACACGCAAGAGTAATCAGGATCGGTATGCTGTTAATATAAATAAAGATCAAATATAATCTTGAGAGTATACATATGTTAAACATGTAAATGAGCTTGACTAACATCATTTAAGAAAATTAATAATAATTAGTTTAACGTGCAATCTATAAAATGTTACCTTAATTAATATTTATTTACTATTAGATTCATTAATTGCTATTAATATTCATCTTAATAATTTATTATATTAACAAATTAGATAATTTACATGTTATAAATGCATATGCTGATTTACCAGAATGACATGCTCGCTAGCAGCGAGCATGTCTTTATGCAAATTATTTAATAAAGTATACCATTGCATCGCTTCCATCACGATTTAACGATGTCGGAAACCTTATATCCTTCACATCGATAGTAGTAATTTTGGCCTTCATTCTTTTTTCCTTCTCAGCGGCGATACGTCTGGCTTCCATTTTCCTAAATTGCACCGAACACTTCTAAAACGACAATGACAACGAGAAACTGACTGGACGATATTCTCGAAGCGTTACGTCTCAAATATGTAAACATATTGCTTGCTTCTTATCGTCTTACGTAAATATTTGTGTCGCAAGTTTATCGCGTCGCGCGATATCAACAATATCTGCCTGAAGATAATTATGAAAATTATTTTCACGGAAAGATCTGTCCTGTACGTTGTTTCAAATATATAATATTAAATACGGACGTTAATTAATTTATTTAAACGTTAACGTGTAATATAATTTTTCAAATGTTTCTCAACGAAAATATCGAAGGAGGCTATATTTTTCATCGCTCTTTCTAACGTTACATTTTGCCAGTTCAGAGATTTTATTCGAAGCTAGTCTGATAACATCTGCCAGCTCAGTTTAGGCAAGGAAAAAATAATAAGTACATAAATGTGTGCTAAACTTGGCTAAACTAAAATTGCTCCTTCTCTCTATTTGAATCTCCTGCAAAATGTCGTTTAAAAGGCGAAATATCTTTTTCTTATCCTGATTTATAACGTTATTAATCTGATCTACGAATTAAAATAATTACTTAAAATTTAAAATAACAGTTCTAAAAAATAAAAGCAAATCCGGGAATAAGAAGACAAATTTGCACGCCTTATTTTCATATTATTATTATCATATACCATTTTTTACGTTCTGTTTTATTATATATACCATAATATACAAATAAATAGCGTTACACCTTTATTTTCAAAGTATTTTGATGAAACTAAGGTTGCATCGGACATCGTATGATGAATAATCTATCTAAAGCAATTGCTGTAACGCGTAGTAATGATTCTTCAATTGAAGGCTTGCGTATTCCACGACTTATCAACTTCTCAGCCTTATAGTCATCACATTATATATAATGGTAGAAAATAATATACTCTACCTAGACTTCCTTTATGCTTCTAAAAGGAAGAATTCAAAGTACAAAGTACATGTTAAACTAGCTTAAGCTGACCGGCGAGGAATTCGTGAATACACATTTTACCCCTTTTCACCCCGTCAGAGGTTGAATTTCTAAAAATCTCTTTTTAGTGGGTGCTTAATTACGTCATGGAAGGAATATACTCCCCGAATTTCAGTCGGGACACTTGTTATATATATATAGATAGATAGATAGATAGATAGATAGATAGATAGATAGATAGATAGATGGCCAGTAGAACACTTTATTCACATAGTAAGTAGAACATAAAAAAATTAACTTATTTCAATTATATGATTGTTTCATGTGTTGCAAGTGCGGTGAAATTCGACAGGCTACTTTCGACGTATACAATGGTACTGCAATCACTTTACGAAAATATCTGCAAATAATTATGCTATGGGCTCAAAACTCAATAACTGTTACTATACCGTGCGTTATGCATGCATTATCTTTGAATTACTACCCAGATAGCACAGCTGATCTTTATGAATTCATAATTGGTGAGAAAAGAGTTTATAAATATTGTTTTAACGTTGATCAAACACATCATATCGTGCTGACAAATAATTATTCGCACAATTTGATACGTACAACGATCGAGTTATTTTTTGTAATAATTAATTACCTAATCATGTCACTGTACAATCAAATATATGGTTAAAAAATCGCTTTTAATATCATCAGTCTTCAACTGATATACAATTCCTCGTTATAATACGAGATCCCACCTAGCAGTGAAATCTCCTCGAAAACTTGTGATCCTTTGTATCGAGATCATACCGGCGCGCGCGGCAAGTTGCCCGGCTGCCGTCCCAGGTAGCATTAATGTCTAAAAGACATCATAAAGATGTCTTTAAGATGCCAGAAATCTTAAAGATGTCTTTATGATGTCTTTTAGACATTAATTGCTACCTGGGGTGCCGCTGGCGCGCTTGCTCCCGGCGAGGCGCGGACAACGGGTTGCCGTTTGGCAGGGGCGCGCTTGCACCAGCACACGATCGGTATGGCGGTCGAGCCGCCGTTCGACAGGAGCGCTCACAGCCGCCACATATAATAATATCATAATTTCAGAATTATGTGATATTATGATCTTGTCGAGAAAATTTTCAATTGTATGTTATACATGCGTATATACGCGTGTGTGTAACTGCATGCGGGCACGCATGCGTACGTACGTACGTGCATGCGTGCATTAGTGCTCGTAAAATAATGTATATCATTTAATAAAGTTTATTTATCACACAAGTAAATACACATATTATTGCTGATAATCCTACATGTATATAGGCACCCGTTGTATTTAGGCAGATGTCATATCTCGAGATGACACTACTATTCACGACACAGCAACCCGAGTCTATGTTTCCTTTGGACGACGACCCTTATCGTAAGAACACGTACACCTCACCTCAATGTGCTTACGTTATGAATTTTGTGTTACGTGTAACTTGATTTCACGTAGTCTCTCTCTCTCAGCGAAGTTTTATCTATTTTCAAACATTTCCTTCTATAATATATTACCCCCCCATAGGGGGTTGCTGTGTTTATTACAGTATGTTGCACCGTTTCACCTGTTTCCGTATTGCAGAACCCCTTCCTATTCTTTAAGTTCTTTCTTTTCTCAAAATTACAACGTACGAATGTTGCGCGAGCGTGAAATTCACTTCTAAAACTCGTGCATATTATTTCGATGAAACATATATGTGTTATACTTATTTCTCTTCACCGGAATACTCCTCGAAATTACTACGTAGCGTACAATGAAAAATGCTGCTACGCGTTGAAAGTCGACAAGTTAGAACATTTTCTTACACATTATTTATAATGGCAATATAAGACTACGTATACAGTAACAGACAAATGATGATGTTAGGAGAATTTTTCCTGCGATATCTAAAATATGCATAAATACCCCGGAAACATATCTTCGGCAAATCATATACTGAAATCTTACTACGCGTGGATTTCCTAACTTTTTTGCAGAGGTAGAAAACGTTACCGCTTATTATCCGTCTCCCACCTACATGCTTCATATATGATACGTATACCCCCATGCCCGTGCCATACGCACGAATATAAAAAACGCAGGAATATATTCGTTCTCTTACGGTAACGCCCCTCTGCTACACCCTTTCATCATGAAATTGAAGCAAATGCGTGGCTCATTTATTATGTAGCGGCTCGCGAAAGAGCTGCTACATTTTATTTTCCATATTATTGACTTGCAATACGGCAACATATACGTGGCACATTTGCAGTCATGGGAAGGAAGGTGACGCTAAAGGAAGTGCTCTCGGTCGTAAAGCTAAGTTTGTTCGTAGTTTGGTGCTGGCCTCTGCCACAAGATGCGTCACGGTTTAAGATACTCTGTATGAAACTGCATCACTGTCTGTGCATAATTATGGAGATAAGCATAGTAATACCGATAATATACGCTATCACGAATCACCTTGACGATCCTGAATTCTGCGTGCACATACTTATTGTAACATGCGGCCTTATTCACACTAGTTCTTGCTTCTTTTTCTATATGGTTAATCACCATCACATACAGGTAATTAATGTTTATTTGATTGATCATTCAAAAATTCGCATGCAAATTAATTCAAAATTAATTCAAGACTTAGGATAATTTTATTACTTACAGAGGAAGTTGTGGTAATTTGAATCGCTCTAAGCTTTTTTCATGATAACTCAAAAAACTATTAAAGATAACTAAACTTTGTTTTCGCTGAGTCGTAATGCCAAATGTTTGTCACAACGTGTTCTTAACAAATTTCGTTTATTTATAGTAAGTTTAATGTTATAACAAAATTTTCTTGAAGTTAGATATTCTTGTAGGGTACTTTGAATGTTGGGCAAGGTGATACACTTCATTAATCTTGCAAAAAAAATAATTCTTCTCGTATTTCAAGGCATATTATATAATGAATATAATGAAATAGTCTACAATAATTATTGGTTCGAAGTTCAAACGGAACTTGAGTGAGAAATCCAACGACAACAGCGTGCGTTTCCGCCGAACGAGCGAATAGAAGCGACACCAAAAGAAATACGACGATCAAAAGAAATAGTCCTTTCAGTGGATATAGACGCGTGATCATTCGAAATTTCACCCAAAAAGGGGGAGAGAAGGCTTTCGCACAACCCGCGACGCGGTCTATTCGCTTATCTCGCTCGCATCGTTAAGCGCTACAGTAGAAAGGTGCATTAATTCGATGGGTCACATAATTAATGCACCTTACTGTACACTACATGACATTTGCTAAATAGATTACATGAAAATTTTATCTTAGTTTTACATACAACAAAAGACGACGAAAAAGCTTTGAAGTAGATTGACTGCAAAAGAAAAGTTTATATACTAACCTTACGCTGTAAGCGATACACACCAAATCTTCAGGTTTAATTTTTAACTTTATGACACGTTGCGCCACGCTGTTGCTTTGTACGTTATAGATTAGGGAGCCAGCAGCTAGTCCACTGCTGTCCGCTAGATTGTAACACTTAATAATAATTTAAATATCGCAGTGGTTTAACTTGCCCACGTGGTTCAAATTACCCCAACTTCTTCTACATCCTGTATAGCAATAACAAATATGTCGAGTAATTTGCAGAATGTTACTTTCGAAATGGTACGTTTTAGCGGCTTGATGAAACCACACGAAGAAATTGTGGTTCAACGATACATCGACAAATGTGCGGGGTTCCATGGTGGATCCTTAATTATTTACTACTTCGGTGGGCTATTACCTGTCGCAATGCCTTTTGTAATAACGGAACTGTCACTTCCATTATTAAACGAATATCCATTTGACGTGTCTTATCAACCGCTAAAAACAATACTCCAAATAAAACAATCTATAGCCGTAATAACGGTATCAGGACAACTATGTACGAATGTTTTTATGGCTCTACTGCTCTGGTTTGTAACGGCAAGATTTGAGATATTCATTGAAGACCTGGGGAAAGTTACAAATGCCTATCAATTGTTCGAATGTATTAAAAGACATCAAGAAGTGCTCAAGTACGTATTATAAACTCCTTGTCTTATACGGAAATAATCAAGTTTAGGGGACCCCGATCTTTATAGCCCGCGCAGACCGAAT